TCTTCTGCACTGCTGAGATTCGCTTTAATTGCAGGAATTGCTCAAGCACTGAGCTACAAAACCGCTATGGAATTGTTTTTTCCTCCAGCTGAGCTGTTTTAAAATACTGAGTTACTTTCAGCATACTATGTAGTATTATTGAAGCTCTGAGTGTGCTAGTAAATGCTGGCTCTCTCTTGACTGGAATGCAAGAGTGAGTATTTCCTGGATTTTTATTTTTATTTTGAAACGGAGAAGGCTGCATTTTTTTTTCAATTAAAGGACAATCTCTGCATGATTTAGAAACTAAATATGGGGTGTTGCAACAAAATGACAGTTGTTTTTAATGAAAAAAAAAAAAAGAAAGCTATTAAAAACTGTTCCGAAACATGCGAACTAAAATAACTGACTTGTATGGCATTTAGTTTTCTAATTTCTGCTTGTCATCAAATTTAAGGCAGAGTTGTTTTCTATTTTATTGTATTTAGATAATAAACAGTTATTATTTGGAAACAGTATGAGGAATTTACTCTTTGAGAAGCAATGAAGCAGAACTGTTTAAGCTTTCAAACCTTGATGAAGTGTTCAGGCTACTCGTGCTTGTGCACTGTCACTGTCATTTTTCTCTCTAGCGATTAGCATAGGTTCATGAATGTATGAATAAATTGGTAGGTAATGATGTGTTGTCTTTTTCTACCACAATTGTAACCATCCCTTTCACCTATTTCATCTTGTCTATGTTTAGTAATACCTGTAATAAGTTTTTTGCCATCAAGGAAGTCTGTGACAGAAGCAAGGATGGAACTGAATAATTCATTGCCTTGACCACAAGGCCAAGTGTTTTATTTTTTCTGTAGTTCAAGGTGTCAGACACTCCATTTCTTCCAGCATAGCAGTGAGTAGTGAAGCTTTACAGACAGCAGTCACCTTTGATTGAGACCCTGATGTCTATCCTCAGATGGGTCTGAAGGAAGTTACACCATGATTCATTTACATGTGGTAGAGAGAGTCTTCATAATGTCACATCCCACACATCTGAAGCGTTTGAGTGAGATGGGGAAGAAAGAGCAGAGACTTTAATCTGGATTTTCCATCTCCTGGATAAATATTCTTGTTACCATGATATCTGACACATTACACACATGACTTCTTTTTTCAGTTTCTCTTGAAGGAAAAAAAAAAAAAATTAGTTCCTCTCAGAAGATGAAATCTTGAAAAGTTTTGCATGAGGGGAAAATGGTTTCCTATGTGACAATAGTATTAGAGTGTGTCATTAGCCCTTCTCCTATCCTGAGCTAAAAGAGGCTATTCCACAAGCAGAGAGAAGCAGGGAAACTTCTTGCTGATTATGTTAATGGCATTAGGTATTTACTGTACTTGTTTACCAGGTGCTGAAATCCATCTCTACAGAAAACATGCAAATAATTTTAGGCATGTACCTCAAGGAAGGCAGTAGGAATTATGGACTGATTGGAAATGCTATCTTGAGTATTGATGTTTTTTTCAGACTGTCAAGAGTTTTATTTCATGCTTTATGAAAGCAAGTTGTGCAGAGAGCTGTTTCAGGGGAGGGCTATGCCTATTTTTAGTAAAATTCCAAAAAAGGGAAACAAAAAAGAAAGACGGAGGCTTCTGAACATATCTGCTCTCACGAACTCAACATCAGGGCAAAGAACAGCACAACCAAATGTCCCCCAGCTATCTGCCTGTACGGGATCTGTCCCTTTTTTAATTTATGTCTGTGTCCCCCCCAAAGACACAACCTCTCTAAGAGGCAAACCTGCCTATAAAGTTATGTAAATACCAGCCTTGTAATGTTTACATTAAGTTGTTTCTAGAAGGCAGATTCTTTTAAGGAGGGAATATTATGTCCTTTTTCTTCCAAGCTGGTTTTCAGTTTCAGCCTGTTTCAATGTAAATATCAAAAGACAGACAAACTGTCTTTTTTTAAAAAGCAGCAGAGGCAGGCTTGAACTGACATTTCCAAGAGGCACAGATATTTTAATGAAAACAATCATTTGACCTTGTCAACTCTGGGCAATCTTATTAGATTTTTTTTTCACTAGCTGTCTCCAGCAGCTTCTGAAACAAAAGTTGCATTCGAAAAAGATGCATGAGATGAGCTGGTGTTCTTAAAGAAGATCTAAGAACAGCGGCGTGTGCGCTGTTAGCCAAAGAAGTCAACTTCAGAGACACATTCTTGTACTTTTCCCCTTCCACACTGCCCCTGCCTTTCATTTCTGCTCAGGGCTATTTGTGTCTGCAAAACAGGATATTTGGCCAGACCTTCCAGCAACCCTTGGCAATCTGCATGGTTTGATAAAGTCCAGTGACAGTCTATATATCCTCAGTTAAGTGAATGTAATGTCCTGGTGGATAAAAAGTAAAAATTTAAAATTTTATGTTTGCGTATGAAAAACAGTACCCTAGCTGAATGAGATAATGGGTTCATGTTCTTTGCTTTACTGTTATGGAAATCTTCATTTTATTAAGAGCCTTTTAAACTTCCATAAGCATAGCCCTTAGTTGTTCAAGGGTTTGGAGGGACACCATGCAGTTAGTCCACTTACAGGGTGAATGTAATACCTGATGGTTCATTATACATCCTATAGAAACATTGTTCTTTAACAGTGATGAACTGAATGTCACTGACTGTAGTTGTGAATGAACAAATTATGTTACTGAGGTGCCTTCCATAATGAACTGAGAATGTCTGATAGTAGACAAAGAAAAGAGAGAGGGTTATCTGAGTAAATAGATATCCATTCTGTGCATGTAATGTGCAAAGGCAGAGAATAACACTGTCAGTCAGGAGGGGGAAAAAAATCTTGAGATATTAGGAGTCAGAAAGAAACACAAACATTTGGAGAGTGTGATGACTCCACCAGCACCTTGCTCGTTAACTAAGGTACTGCAACAAATACACAATGTAGGCCAAGAGGTGACAGCTGAGTGAAAATCATGCTGGGTTTAAGGAATTTGCTTTTCCTCCTATTTGTCAGCAGTGACATTTCTGAAAAATAGCAATAGTATCTGCAACCCAAGATGGCACTTGACAAATGATGCTTTTCCTCATCGTTGGTGCTCTTTGTTCATATCAGTGTGGAAATAATCAAATTCATGTCATTACTTTCGCTTCTATTAAAAACCATTATAGGTCTGAGGAGACACCTAACAGCTATTTCATTCTGAGTTTGGAGAAGAGCAGAGAATCTGACGTCAAATACACCACATGTACACACACAGACACAAATATTTACATGTTTTGAAATCATATAACTGAGTTAGTTTGTATGGGTTTATGCATCTAATGAATAATTAATGGCTTACTTCCATTAATAGGGATGTTTAACAGCAGATGATAGGCCAGACTCTACAGCCCTGCCAGCTGGCACCTGATCATATACGTAGTTTCATCCACATAACTGTGACTATAGCCTGAAAGAAATGAGAGTTTCAGCTCAGGGTGTGACCATACAATGACAAGGAGGAAAGCTGCTTTGAAAACACCAATTCTTGCTCACGCAGCTTGGGCAGGAATGAGGAGCTGAAAATAAATATATTTGCTGTCACTTCCTATTAAAAGATTCAGTCTTTTAACAACCTTTAGCACATCAGTTACTATCTCCAGTGACTCTAAAACTTAAAATCAATCTTCACATCTGTCTGTTGCTTGTGAGCTCTAATGTTAGACTTCCATAGGGAGTTCACAACTTATGAGTCCTTATTCATTGGGCATCAGGTGATGTGTTCCCTGGGTATCAGGCACAGCTCGTAGTTAGCTGGAGCAAAGGGAGTTAAAATAAAAGACTATTGATTTGGTGGATTTTTGAGGATTTTTTTTTGCTGCTCAGTGTCTTGCTACTTTCAAATAACTTAAGTAAACAATGAACTAAAAAATTCAAACCTTTTGAGACTGTTATGGCTATCACTAGGCACCCGTGTATATGCTGCCAGATACTCAAAAGCACTTAGCAGATACTGCCTCCGTTGGAGGCAATAATATTTTAAAAGCCAGGCTGCTTCAATCAAGATGCCTGCTTGAGCATAAGAAAATAAGAAATGTCCTTTCACAGCAGAGGCCATCCTCTGAAAAGGATGCTTAAGATAGCAGATAAAAAGAGAGTGCTCTAAAAAGAATGAGCCCCTCTACTTCTGGAATTCAGTGGTTTGAAGGCATCCAGACTGTTACATTAAATGGCCACCACTAGACCAACTCCTATGAATTTGTCCTTTTGAACCTCTTTATGTTTTTGTCTTGCAAAACATTACTTGCCTGTGAACCTAGCTTATGCATGCTGTATTTAAAAATCCTTCTTTTGTTTCTTTTATGCCTGCTGCCTGGAAATTTAATTGGGTGGCCCCTTGTTCTTGTTTTATGAAAAATAGTTAATGGTCATTCTCTGCCTACCTGTCTTCTCTACTTACTTTCTACCTACCATTCACAATATGTAGAACATTGTCTTCCCAATATTTATGTGTCCAGGTTATAAATTCTGTTTTGACCCTTTCTTTTGTCCCTGCCTAGAGAAGAGGATGAAGCAGACGGGTGCTACTAGTGTTTCCTGCCTGTGTATTGCTGTTTCTTTGCTAGCTCACAAGTGGTGTAAGAAGCACTATGTGGTATTAACTACCTCACTTTTAACTGAGCTCATTCAGCTTTGATTATGCTGGAATTCTGAGTAGAAATTCAGTATGAGATTTATCTTGGCCTGGTGTTTTCGCCCCAGTTAACCTGCCATAAGGAATGGAGTATGACAGAGTATGGGAGATGTGTAGCAGATTGGTTTGATTCCTTCAGAAGTTCCAGCTTCAACTGTGAATATTCTGAAGATTAATCAGAATAACAAAAGTGTTTTTAAAAAGTATTTTTAATTCTTGAGTTTAATATGCTGAAAGAACACATTAGATTTTCAATTGCCAACAAAGCATCGCTATGGATATAAACGTTGCAGTTAGGCTGGTACCTTCTAGATCTCACCTTTGAATTAACTTCTTTCTTTTCTGTGTTTTTTAACTAGGTGAAGCAACAGTGAAGAAGAAACCAGCTCCAAAGACTCCTCCAAAAGCAGGTAATTTGTTGCATGTGCCATCCTGTAGGAATAAATAATAAATCAATACGGTTTTAAAGGACAGACACCACATTTCTAAGTACAGCTGTTTGCCTATTTAATTTCTTGCATATGTGATTAAACAGTGAGAATGAAGTTCTATGAGGAGAAAACTGGAAAGCAAAGTCCATTTTTCAAACTTGTTCATAAGTTTACACGTGCTAAAACTTAAATTATGACCATGCAAAAAAGTTACAATCTAATAAACTATAGCAAGATCCTACCCAATGCCAGCACTACTGTTGTAACAACACACCTTAGCCTTCAGTGAAAGAGATTTTTCTATGTATCACAGAATGCCACCTCTGCATGAGTAGCTACCACAGAGAAGTTGATAGATTCTATCTGTTGATAGATTCCTCCTAACTGGCATTACGGTAACCTGTTCATGTGTTTGCACTCTCCCAGGCAAAGCTATCTATATTTAAAGTTACCCAGAATGATCCCTTATAGAAACCTGCTTTCAGTGTCTTCAGACTTTGTCAGACTTTTAAACCGTCCAAGCTGTTCACTTTGCCAGATGCGTCCCTCAGTTTCCTTCAGATATTTCAAAACAAAAACACTTTTCAGAGAACAAGTCTAGAGGGGAAAAAAAACCAAACCACTTTGTTTTAATTACATTGAAAAGAAAAAAGAGGAAAAAAACCCACAACTTTTTTCATGCCCAGTAGCCCTGTGCTTTCGGCAGGAATGTTACATTTGGCAGTGAGGTCATTCTGATGTTAAAGAATGCCTTTTACTGTTTTGCTCCCGTAAAGCAAACAGAGCAAGTTTCACCCTGGAGCTGTCTGGGCTGCGGTGTCTCTGGCATCTGTCCCTCGCAGCTACCAGGGGTCTGGCACACTCCGCATCACAACCCAGAGTCAGGAAGTAGCACTATTAGCAAAAGAGATGTTCTGCCATCTATTGATGCTCAGGCAGTGAGAGGGAAGAGGAGGAGAAATACCTGATCCAGACACAGAGGAGTATGAATGGGACTGCAAGATTTAAATGAAGCCCTGTAACACACAACCAAAAGGATCTGTCATTGTTCACGGGTAAATCGAGTGTAATGGAGAAAGACATTGATTTCCTTTCTTGTCTTTCTAATAGATGTCCCTCGTGATATTTACCTGGCTACTGAAGCCAGAATCTTCATAGGCAGGTGTTCAGTCTTAAATTTTCTGAATGCTGTTGATGACATTAGGAAACGGGTTTGCAGACCCCTCAGCCCACACAAATTGATATGGAGCCATTCTTCAAAAATACAAAGTGCAAAAGAAAAAAGATGTTTTTCTGTAAAACCCAACACAAAATTTCACAAGCTGTGTATTTGGAATTGGTGGTATGTCTTAACACTTTCAGTCTCTCAATTTCTGTACCCTGGTCTTGCATGACCAATTCTGACAGATAGATGATTGTAATTGCTCCACTACGGTAGAATTAAAAATGTCCACAGAATTGTTTCATTGCAAGCAACAGATAACTGCTAATCTGGATTTCTAATGCTGCTCTGAAACTGTTGAGCTGAGAGATGTATGTTTTGAATTTTAAGAAAAATAGAAAGTATAGTCACCTGAAGAGAGATTTTATTTTTTTTTTTCCATCAGCTGCTCCTCCTCAGATTACTCAGTTCCCAGAAGACAGAAAAGTCCGTGCGGGTGAATCAGTGGAACTGTTTGCCAAGGTGGTAGGAACAGCACCCATAACTTGCACCTGGATGAAATTTCGTAAGCAGGTAAATTGTTTTGTGGTCTGTTTTAACAATCATTGAAAAAGTAGAGCTGGAAAGGAACTCCAGTGACTCATCTTGTTCATCTCCCTTCTCCCAGAACTGGCAAAGTCCATGTCATTCCTGTCAGATGTTTTTCTCACCTCTGCTGAAAATGTTGCAGCCATGAACATTTCACAGCCTCCATTAGCAACCTATTGCAGTGCTTAAGCATCCATGGAGTTAGAATTTTTTTCCTAATTCCAAACCCAAATCTTTCTTGCCAAAGTTTAAACCCGTTGCTGCTTGTCCCTTCCTATAACAAATGACTGTTCCTTTGAGAAATGCCATAGACCGTGTAATTAAAGGATAAGTCACTTGAAAGATACAGGTATCTGAAAAGTATCTGTCTTGGGAAATGTTCCTCTCCTTCAAAAATAACCTCTTCTTCATTGATGCTTGGTCTAAAGTTATGTCAGAGGAGCAAAATGCCATGTAGTAAGCTTGAGTGAAATGTCTTATAACACAAATGACACTGTGCAGCGATTATACTGCCATGAGTGCCCTCACCCCCTAGGTTTAAATTTCCTTCTATTTGAAGTAATTTCCTTGAACTATATTATGTGTATCCGTAAGGGCAGTTTCTAAAGATAGTTGCTTTAATCACAGAATCACAGATAGTTGCTTTAATAAAACCACTTTAAATAAAACCACAATATGCGAGTACTAACTGGAAGATGATGTGCCATGTTAGGATCAAGCAAATATAAATATGTACTGTAGCTGCTATACGTTTATTTAATTCTGAACTCATTATGTTCTCTATAGAACATAAATAAAAAACATCTCGTACAAGAAAGTTTAGACTCTAAATCCAGATGTGTCAGCATTTAATTGAAAGAATTCAAAACAGTTTGTTAGTGCAAAGGCTATCCCATTGTCCATCTTTGCTAACCCCAAATAACCTCTTACTTTAGGAGAAAGGATGTTTTTTTTCATGAACTCTTGTATTTTTTTGAAATTCTTTAGTTCCAAGACTGGATTTAAAAAGCAGCCTATTCATTTCTAAAAAATAGTCTCAGAAGCTGCAGTGACATTCAGTGTCCTGTTTTGCTGAGCTCTGTCTTAACATGTGGGTAAAATGTGCCCCTCAAAAGTGAGAATTTTGAGTTCATTGTTGAATACAACAATCCTATTTACATTTCAAGGCCATTTTTATATACAAAATCTATTTGATGACAGAGACCAGCAGTTCATAATACCCATACCAGATCCATAATCTACACCTTTTTTTCCTTTGTAAAATATGATTTTTTCCATCTTTATACTTTCTTCTTTAGTTATTCACAATCTAAATGTTTGCATAATCATACTTTAAAATGACACATAAATTTTTAAATGGCTCATTATGGCAGATGCACGAGAAAAGAAAAAAACTTCAAGAAAGTTAATAAACACTGTAGGAGGACAAGTGAGGGCAGCAGTCTTTCATTTATTAAATTAAATGGGGAGGCAGTTACTATATACTGTGCTGCACCATTATTTTGCTTTCTTTTTCACTTATTCTTCACCACACTTTGTTTTATTCTTGGATTTTTTCCTCTTCTATAAATATGGTTGATTTCAACTCTATTCCATTCCCAGTCTGAAAAGTGAAAATCACCCGAGTGTTCTTACGATTTTCCTGGGGGCTATTTGTAGTAGTTATTTGAGTAGATCCAGTAAGTGGTGAGTTGTGATTTCAGCCCTACCACTGTATGCTCCAGTGTGCAGGAGGGACTTGTCCTCTCCGTGTTTCTTCCTCACATTCCCTTTAGGTTCAAGGGAGCCACAGTGGCGTCTCACAGATATATTCTGGCCAATGATCTTTTGCTTGGAGAAAGTGAACGTCACAAAGTTGTGACCCATGCTGTTGTACACGATGGCAGTGTAGTGGAGGGATGCTGGAACTGTGCCTAGCTAAAAAGGGGAAAGCCTTCGAAAGCCTCTTTGTTAGTTGAGGAACAAAATCCATTGTTTAACATTGCCAGTTGTTGGAGCTTCTTAACTATGACCAATGACTTTATTTTGGGAAAACAGGGATCCAGCTTCCTGTTCCCCACAACCATTGCAAGCCACTCAGCATCCTTTCAGGGCTTTCCCTTCATAACACAGATCTAGTTCTACTAGACTGATCTTTTTATTAATGTTACCCTTCGACTAATTCTAGTGAAGCAAAACATAGAAGCCAGTGTAGAATCTCAGAAGAGCAAAGTATGGGGGCAGGGAGGAACAACTTTCACTATAATTTAAACTATAGTTTTACATAATCCCATTTGCTAACTTTCTGTTGCAGTTACTGGAGGAGCATCTTTCTCGGGTTACTTTTGGGCATATAGCAGTGCACATGTTCTATCTCAGCTGAGGAGAAAGCAGGGCAAGTCCCTCTCTTAGCCTTGTAATTTCTTATTCTCTGAGTATGTGAGACAAGATAAGGCAAACTAAATAGCCTTCATTTTAATGAAATTCTGAGAATGAGTTGGAAGAGTCACTTATCTAAGAAGGAAGTGGTGGGAGGAAGAAGGGCATTGACATTATGTTGTCTGTTTCATAAGAACACAGTGTACAGCTTCATAATTGCACTGTAGCATTATGAGGTTTTTAAATAATTTGTCATGTCTCAAGCTAATACTGATTAAAATCTAAGTCTCCTTGGCCATTTATGCTATGATAGCTTTGTTTCAATTAAAAACTAGTTCATAATATGTCTATGGTATTCAGCTGAGATTTTGATTTTTGCTTCTCCAGAAAATAAAAATGCTACAGGAAAGCTAAATTTGAGCTTTTTATGTCTCTCTGCACAGCTGTAGCATTACATCTCCATTTCAGGCATCACTGTCAATTGTTCAAACCCATGAAACTGTTACTCTGATTTATGTGGGAGAACAGAATAATGCTGGTTAAGACAAGAGGGTAAAAGTCACAGCTATGGATAATTTGCACATTGGGCCTCTAAAGGAAAATGGCAAATGAATTAGGGGATTTAAAGCTAAACCCTTGTTCCACTGTGGTCTCTGTGAGATATGTGAGACCAAACTTTGTTCTTTTGCCAATTACACAGTTTGCACTTTCAGCCTGTCAAAGAGAAGTTAGAAAGTGAAACTCCTGTTCCTCAGTGGAGTCCCAGCAACACCAATGCTCCCTGTTGCCTTTGCAGGACGGGCACCATTATAATGTTCCATTGCATTTGTAGATGTTTTGTGTTGATTACACCCTTTACCAGGTGCACATATTCACTGCTGTAGTACAGTTATCCACAGATAACACTCAAAATTATAACCATGTATTGTAATTTGACCTCTCTCAGATATGAAGAGATTTATTGCATAAAATCTTTAATATTTTTCATTTGAATTTGGCAGATTGAAGAAAATGAATATATTAAAATTGAGAATGCTGAAAACAGCAGCAAGCTCACAATATCATCAACAAAGCAGGAACACTGTGGATGTTACACCCTCGTTGTAGAGAACAAACTTGGCAGCAGACAAGCACAAGTCAACCTTACAGTTGTTGGTAAGTCCATAATAACGTTTTAGATACGTACTCATTCTTCAGATACCTACATTTGCTTTACACATGATAACATGCAAAAAAATAAATAAAATAATCAGATAAGTTAAGAAAACTGAAATGAAAAACTGGTACCTTAAAAAATATCTGGATTGGACGATGACATTGTAATAAGGACTATAAGCAAGTTCAGTAGGGCTATACTGTGTTTTAATTTTGAAAAATTACTAATTACACATGAAGGTACAAAATATCTCAGTCTTTAAAAAAAAACAAAACCACATGAGAAAAACAGCTCAAGTCTCCATTTTTTGGTTAGATATCACTTCTTTTTCCCACTTAATATTTGCAGCATCCAGATATTTGGTAGACTGCAAATTTTAAGACTGTTGATTCAGGAAGGAGTGAAGTGGATTCTATTAGACTGCAAATTAGAAAGCATCCTGTTGCTTGGGGGAGGAAGTTTTTATTCATCTAATCAAAATTCCTACCATTGTCTACTGTTTTATAGTGACAGAAAGCAGTGAATAAAGGCAGTCTATTCTGAATACAGAGCCCTTTGTATATGGGCTTTTACATACATCTATTTTAAAGCATCAAACAGCCCTGACAGATGATACATTCAGGTCATCAAGTTTGTTGTAGCAGGCTGCGGACAGCTGTAAATAGTTGTAGACCAGTAGACAGTTGCAGTGTGTTTGCAGATAAAACTGCAGCCTGGATCTCAACCAGTTGGCTTGAGGACCAGACAACATCTACAGCGGTGACGTCTGGCTCTGAACGGGCTAATGAACCCACCTTGGTGTGGCTACACAGCAAATGTATTCCAGGGAAATCTAGGGAAGTTCTACAAGCAAAGAGGGTGATATGATTAAAACATTAGTCTGTGGGATAGGTCTGTTTCTAGGCTCTGTTACCTATGACCTGCAGAGGGGTTTTGATACAATGCAGGGCAGGGCAGAGATTGCCCAGGCATTTGGACAAATTCTAGTTCAACCAGCAAGGCTGCATCCTAATCACACACTCCAACCTGCCTTGGCTCTGCTGGCCTAACAGCTACGTGGGCTAGGGAGCAAGTAAAGAAATGCAGGTATAAAGTCAAAGATTAAAATCTGACTCCAATGAAAAAAAATGGCAAAATACCATTAACCCAAATTGCACTGGAAATTGGTTCCAACATACAGCATTTAATGAATAGAATCCCACCTTCAAGTCCAATACCCACTGCTAAAAAGTGAGTGTCCCTCAGTTGCGTACTGCTGTGCAAATTGTCAGTAGAGGCCTTCTGATGATTAAAACGAATTCCTTTCATCTAATCTGTGGCTTTTGTTGCAGTTAAGAGATAACTGAATGAATGAGTATAAATATCAAGTAGATTCCAGCAACATGCCAGAGAATTTAAGAATAGAAGAAAGTAGAATAAGTATTTTTCACATGAGGCATATATAAATTGTACTACCCCTTCCAACGGTAGGATGTGCAGGTCAGAAATACAGCTAGGGCAAAAATAAACACCATGAAAAACTGGTCTTCGAATAATTGTCATATACATTGTTTTGGGTACAGTTTTTGGCTCCAAAGGCCCAACACAGCTGATTAGCAGCTAGAAGAATGGCAGGAGATTAATTGCTCATTATATTTCCCTTTTTTCCTCTCAGCTGCAGGCTGCTAACTGTAGCAGGTTATTGGGGAAGATGGATTTTTTTTAGCTGAACTAGGCCAATAATTCCTATTATCTTGTCATGGTGTGAGCCTTGACTCACTATTATATAAGGCACTGGTTTATATCCTTTGGAGTTAATTGGTTTGAAAGTCTTTGAATTCTATAACCTTATAAAGCTACAACTCAGCATCCTGCTTTGCTCTTCCATAAGAAATGTGCCAGAGAACTGTGGGATTCCCAGAGATGCTTTTTGGGACAGTTGGGTGAAGAATCCTTACAATGTGCTGGAGTTTGCCATGCATTTTGGCTGATGACAAGTTATCTGTTTCCAACTGAAAAGAATAAATTCCCTCTTGTAAAATTGCCAAGCTCTTCAGTGAGACATCTCGCTGATGTCAGCACTGCCAAAGGCATGACAAAGCCTCAAGATTCCTGGTTTGCTACACATGCATTTTAAGGCCAGATTCTCCCATCAAAAATGTGGGAAAAGGGAGCAAAAACACCTTCCTTCTAGGAAGTGGGTTAGAATCTCACTACTGAGATAACATCCTTCACCCTGTTTGCACCTCCAAAGGTGTTAAATGTTCGTGGAAGTTGGAAGGTAATTTTCCCCAAAATCTACTCCAATCAAAATAGGGAAACTGTACTTCTCTAAATCAGTAAAATACGAGACCACTTAGTCTACCAAAGCTCATGTTTAGTCTTAAATCCCCACTTGTCCATTCTCTGTGCTCCATCCAAATTACTGGGAAGAAACTTGCCCTCCCTGCCCTGACCCCACATTAAGAACAAGCATTTGTGGAGTAAGCCCTGGTGCTAAAGATCAGCTCTGTTTGCCTCAGCTATTTATAACAAGGCTCTCAACTCTGTGTGAGCTTCCTCAGTATGAGTTTACCAATAAAAGGCACATCTACGTGTATGCTGTGTGCTCAAAAGGCTGCTGACTGACCACAGTCCACAACCGAGTCTTGAATGTATTGAGGGAAACTACAAATAGAGAACATCTGCTCTCTAGAGGACTGTGTCTGAGCCAACCTAGAGCTCCTCAAAGAGGTAGCTAACAGCCTTGTCTGTTCTGAATTTTAGCAAATCAAAGGCGTTGTTAAAATATAAAATGAAATAAATAAGGAAATAAAATCTCCTTACAACCATGTTTTCTACAACAGTCTTCATATGCTGATGGGCAAGCTTCTCATGTGAAAGACTCCAATAAGCATTTCCCAGATTAAATTTGGACTGTACCACATGCTGGGGAACAGGTGTCCCAGGAAAGTTGTGCTGTATCCATCCTTGGAGGTGTTCAAGTTCAGACTGGATAAGCATCTGAACAATCTGGTCTGACCTTGTACCTGATCCTGCTTTAAGCAGAATGTCTAAAGGCCTTCCTAAGGCTATTTAAGATCTTTGTTTCATGTTTTCCATTGTCAAAGACCTTTCTTCACAAAAAATAACATTATTGACTTTTCTCCAACCAGAAGAAAAAGGACTCTGCCAGGATTCAAATCAGAAATGATCCTGCTATGATTTAAACCCTGAGTCCTAGACTGTAAACTATAGCTGGGTATGATTATTAGAAATGATTTTTAATAACGATTTTCAGGGGAAAAAAATCTACCCTGCATTCCTTTGACTTTGTCTCCTAAAGTCTTAAATTTAACTGCTCACACTGTCAGGCTCAGACTTCAACTGCAGGCTTAACTGAACTGAGCAGGGGTTCTGACACTTAAAGATTTTAAATAGTATATAATTTGATGCAGTTTGGGACAGTTGTGAAAGAAACCCAACTTTATTCTGAGGGCTTATTTTTTTCCTTTGCGATTTTAATGAATATGAATGAACAAAATGTCCATTACACTCAGCTTCCAGTACGAGCTGTTTGCAGTCCACACAGCAGATGCACAGATAAGCAGTCAAGTTAGAGGACACATTGTAATTGATAGGCAGTGCAGTGTGGTGATGAGTACACAGCACTGAGCCACAAGGACGGAGTCTGGAGTTTCACATTAGAATCATAGAATTGTCTACGTTGGAAGGGACCTTTAAGATCATCTAGTCCAACCATTAACCTAACTCTGATAAAAAAAAATATCACTAAACCATGTCACTAAGCACTATGTCAGCCCATCTTTTGAATACCTCCAGGGATGGTGCCTCAACCACTTCCCTGGGCAGCCCATTCCAGTGCTTAATAACCCTTTCAGTGTAAAAATTTTTCCTAATGTCCAATCTGGACTTCTCCTGGTGCATCTTGAGACCGTTTCCTCTTGTCCTATCACCTGGGACTTGGGAGAAGAGACCGACCCCCTTCCAGGGGTAGTTGTAGAGAGTGATAAGGTCTCCCCTCAGCCTCCTTTTCTCCAGGCTGAAAAACCCCAGCTCCCTCAGCCTCTCCTCATGGGTACTTGTTCTCCAGACCCCTCACCAGCCTCGTTGCCTTTCTCTGGACCCACTCCAGCACCTCAATGTCTTTTTTGTGGTAAGGGGCCCAAAACTGGACACAGTACTCAAGGTGGGGCCTCACCAGTGCCCCCCTCCACCACCAGTACAGGGGGACAATCACCTCCCGAGTCCTACTCACAAAGCTCACCACGTATTGATTCATTGTGTAACTTTGTCTGTACAAGCACTAATAATACTGGGAGACCTGAAGTAGAAGTGAGACATTCAAGTCAAGCAATGTCTTCATTTAAAGGGCAGATTGGTCCCAAAATGCCCATGTGAGCTTTTCCCTATTGTTATGATTAGCTCTCTTTAAAAAGCAATTTCATTAGCTGAGTGACCTCTCTAGGGAGATTTTGCAACGTGTTTCTGCTCCAAAACCAAAATGGCCTTATGTGGGACTGAGCTAATGATTTACCACAGACACTGTGTCAGATTAAAGTGGACTTCTGTTGCCAAGCTATGTAAAATGAGCCACTGATGAGTTTAGTGCAAGACAGTACTGATTTAGGCAAAGTACAGCCCTCGCTCTATAGTGATAGCAAGGAATATTCATTCCGTTCTTGCCATTCATTAGATGTATAGGGGTAAATCTCTTAAATTTCTGGTTCTGAACATTTTAGCTGTGTGACAACTTTTAGAAAAGGAACTTGGTTTGCATACTGGCTAAAGCTGCGTGCTGGGACAAAAAGTCAAAAAAGTAATGGAGTATTCAACAAGGAGAATTTGGCACTAGAGAAGTATTCTGTTCTGCAGCTATGCCACAATAGCTTCCTTCAGGATTTTGGGCAAACTGCTTCGTGTTTCTATGCCTAGTAGGGGTTTTCTGATCATCAGTGTTTGATGAATACTTTGGACATTAGTGACATCTTTTACTTTCTTTAATACAGAAGTAAGAATA